ACCTGAACTAAGATACCATGCTCAGACTAGCGCAGCGTCCACAAGATTATTCCAACCACAAGGACCACGAACGTTCCTTATGTCGGTAGCTCAACAATCTACAGAGGATCGACATTGTTCCGCGTATTCAAATCGTCCAATCAGATATTCTACGCAACTCAGTCGATACATACTGCCTGTACCACGAACAGGACTCACTAGGTCGATTTCGGCCCCGGCCGGGGAGCAGGCCGAGGGGGAAGGAGTTTGATGTATAGATCGAAAGATCCGAACTGCGGGCCGCAGGAAGGAAGAACAAGTGGCCGAAAACATCGTGTAGCGAGATACGCATGCACGCACACGGCAGCATCGATTCGAGACCTGTTGTGCACAAACGTGGTGTTATGCTGGACAGTAGTACCGTGACCTGACGAGGGCGCTAGTTAGTGCAACCCTATTATAGTAAGGGGATAGATAGGCGTGGTGATCTTTCTTGGTGTTGACAAGCGCAAAGTGCCAAAGGTCAACGCTCAAACACCACCAAAAATTTCGTCTGCTGTTGCGGAACATAAAACAACCTGTCAAGATGTCGGGTTGTTGCAAAACCCCTCGACGCGAGGATGAGACAACACGTGATCGGTGCCAGACTGGATGGGTGCCAGACTAACGCGAAGAGAGGGCAACACAGATTGATGCCCTCGCGCACAAGTGTAGGGAGGCGTACAGCAGTACATATTGCACCAATCAATGGTGGTGCGAAGCAGCGTCTGTCTGTCTGAATGTTGTTGTTGATGCCATGCGCCTCTCTCCATAAAAGAGGCCGCCGCGGCCCTCCTGCTGCTGCTGGTGTTGTTGTTGCTACAAAAACTAACCAAGCAGTGGTGACCCAACCAATCGCTCTTCCTTCTCTCCTCTCGCTTCCTCCGCCGATAGCTAACAGCAGTAGTAGCATAGGGCACATCCTGCTTCCGTCTCGCTCTCGCTTCGGTGTGTGTCTCCCTCCCCCCTTGCCTGGCTCCGGGTGATGTCTTACGTGTCTCTTGCGTGAGGCTACGTACGTCTGATGTCTGGTCCAGACAAACAAGCCTCCTCGTCACGTGGGGACGCGTGACTCCGACATATATATCGGCGCGGATGCCTTCGTAACTCCACGCACCGACCACGGATTGAAAAGGTAGCAGTTGGGACAGCTCGGGCAAAATGCTACCTGTTGTGAACACGTCTTAGGTTGCAATTTGGTGCCTGGATGGCGAAATGGGCTCGAGTCTGCTGGCTTATTTATGGCTGGTCAGACAGACAGACAGACAGACAGACAGACAGACGGACAGCCATGGCTCATTTTCACCCCCTTTCACCTAGTACCTTCCCCAACCTCAGCCTGCTCCCCGGCCGGGGCCGAAATCGACCTAGTGAGTCCCTCGCGGGCGAACCAGGCCACGAAAGATAGTAGGCGGGTGGTGTCCCAAGGTGCAACTCACCGCCGCGCTGGCTCAGCGTGGCGGTGAGGATGCACAGACGGTGGTAGTGGCGAGAGGTGTGAATGGACACTGTTCCCGCGGCAGTGATGCAAGGCGGCAAACTGCACCTGGCAACCACCGTCGCGGAAAGCGTGGCCCACGAAGCTGGAGGAGTAGCCTAGAGAGATTCGTAAACACCACGTCAGTAAGCACCGCTCGCGGGAGAAGGGAGACAACCGCGGGCACCGCCGGTAGGGTGCTGCACCCTCCTCGTCAAAACACCACAGGCAAGAACCGAGCTCTGCAGAGATGGATTGATGCGAGGAAACTCGCCGCTCGGAAAATACGGAAGAAAGCACACCCGCAACGCGAGGCGGACCGAGAGAGACACGAGACCGCAGCGGCCGTCAACGCGGGTGCGAAGAAGGCACGAGAGGGCAACCTATCGTTCGGCACGTTCCCGAGGCTGATGAAGGTGCGTCTACAAATTGGCCGCACCTGCGGAGTACCTTTCGTGGTGGGTTACGCCCCCACGGAAACTGTCCGCACCACCGCGGGCGGTGATGTTAACGCCAAGGACTCCTTCTGGACTGCTCTCGACGCAGCAATCCGGGAGGCTCGCAGCCGTGACCATCTCGTGGTACTAATGGACGCCAACGCACGCACTGGTAGGAGGCGAGATGGGTGCTGCGATGCCAAGTTTATGGGCGCGTACGGACGCGACATTCTGAACAACAACGGGGAACGACTCCTTGGACTGGCATCAGACAACCAACTCTCCCCGACCAACACCTACTTCCGGACACCGAAGGGTGGAGTGCAGCACACATTCCAGAGCTCCAACAAGGGGAAGGAGAAGTACCGCCTCGACTTCATCCTCATGCGTCAGACGGACCGGCGTTTCGTGTGTAATGTCTCCGTCAAACGTGTCGACTTCAAGGACTCTGACCACAACCTCGTGCTTACGACTGTCCGTCCCTCCCCCCCCGTGTCGCATCCAATCGACGAGTGCGGGGGAACAGCGGAAGCAGCCGGATCTGTATCGACCTCGAGCGGTTGAGGAAGGACAAACACCTACGGTTCGCCTTCCAAAACAGGGCCTCCAGCCGNCAACTGCGTGGGGCCTCAAAGAACAGCGCCTTCGAGGCGACCCTGAAGGCGATGCTCAAGGCGGCGCGGAAGAAGCGCAGCGTCGCGAGGTGGAGAGCACTGGAAACGTTCTTCGAGGGCTATGTACGGCAGCTCGAGGAGAAGAGCCGCGAGGGGGATCAGGCAGGTTTCTACAGGCACCTGAAGATGATCAACGTCGAACTTGAGGGGTCGTTCACCTCTCAGAACATCAAGGACAAGGACGGTAAGGTCCTTCGGGACCCCACGTTCATTCGCCAACGGTGGGCACGGTGGTTCCACAAGCTTCTCAACACCAAGTCGCCGACCAT